CCCCAGAGTTCTTGGCCAGGGTCTGTGCATGTTGTATGGCTGCCCTCAAAGCTTGTTTCCAGGAAACCCCAAGCCATGGGCAGATACTGTGAACGCATGCAGGTTTCCACGAAAAATCTGTGACGAGTAGATTCCATAGAGCCAGAAGACTTCTGTAAAACACTTGTGGTTTATCAAATTCATATCTAACTGTTGTGTCAGAGACTGTCAGAAAAGCATTAACACTGCACTTCATGGCAAACTTCAAGCATCCCTTCATGGCAAACTTCTTGCCATACTGTTTCTTCACTCTCCTATCAAATGGACACTAGGTTAGAGAACAAGTGAACTACAGCAACATGCAGTTCCAGTTCCGAGTGAACTTCTGTATCAGGCCGTACCATAGATCTGGACTGATAGAAAACCATGGTTTTGTAGATCCTCCCAGTATAGGCTGCCATCTCCCCAAACATAACCTTAAAAAGCAGAGTTACAGCAAGCACCTAGGCTGGATCCTGAGGAAAATCTTTCTGTTAGCTTCACTGAGGCCAGGATTTACTGTGTATGTATGGCACACCAGTGAAAAACAGCCTAGGTGGACAACACAAGCTGGAGAGAGCCCCCCGTTTGGAAAAGAGGCATGCTGGGATATAAGAACTCAAGCATAGTCGCTGCAACCTCCAATTGCTTTTTTTAAAAATTTAAATTTTTGAAGCTAATCAATTTTTGATGCAGTTGTGTTCTGTTGTCTGCTGGCAAAACCTGAAACCTTCACCCAGATCCAGCCTTTAAAGATACTTACAGGGTAAATTCAAACCCACAGCAAGTCACGTGCTAAGCCTCGGTCGCACATCATAGCTCCCTGCCATTGCCTAATGCTAAAATTGTGATATGTCAGCACTACCCATGTTACTAACTCATGGTCTTATCTCAGTCCCACTAAAATCCTTGTCAGATGCAAGCAGGGCCTGTCAATTTCTGTATTGATGTCAGAGCCCTTAGCAAATAAATAGCAACCTCAGAAACAAAGATACTTCCTTTTCCATTGATGCTATAACACCTTTACCCTGCATGTTTTATATTGCTTCCACTGACACGCTATGAATGCCAGAAAGAAAAGCTCAGATCGAACCCAGTTAATTAGAAGGATTCACACAGATGGTTTGCCTGGTACTTTACAGAGGTGCCTAATTAAAGCAATGTTAGTCAGCACCATTAAAATGCCAGATAAAGCTTTAGGAACAATGCTGATTAGAAAATGAGGTTTACAAATAGGGCTTTGAGCAATGCAGGATGTTTGCAGTTAATTAATCCAGTTCTAACATATCTTAACCGAGGCACAGCGTAATGCATGCTGGTATCAACATTCATGTCAAGATTTTGCCTAGTTCAGACGTGGCAGTTATTAAAGCAATATGAAGTGACTGTAATTTCACATTCTACAAGAGAAGATGAGGGAGTTTGAGCTCCTCTAATTAGCCATGATTTAAGAGCACTGGAAAAGAAACCAAGGCAAGTCCTAGTTGTAGAAAGTTACTCACATGCTGCCTTCTCTCTCCAGCAGTAGATGTAGGCATGCAATAGAAACAAAGCTTCCTTCCAGGTTCTGACAGATGCTGCATTTGGAGGGGATCAGCTGCACTCTTCAACGTGCTGTCTCCAAGATATGACTGTCTGTATTTTTTCGCAGTAAGAGTCATCTGATCTTGATCTGAAAACTTCTTCCAAACTTGTTTTATGCAACCAAATAGCCCCAGTCACTGAACGTGCTAGCAGATAATCCCATACACAGGTTTGTGCAGCAGCATCAGGGACCTGAAACATTGTCTTATTCCCTGTAACTGAAACTGACTTTTCTTATAATTATTACATCAAAATAGCAATAGAATTGCATCCCATATTCCACAGACAGGCAGGCGTACATGTGTTTTGGGCTGTCCAGTATGACTTAGTCATTATAGGCCTAAGTTCCATGATCAACCTTGAAAGAAATACAGATGAACAAAACTACTTACTGCCACCACCTACTACTGTTGGCCAAGCAAGGCTATCGGTAGATCCATTTAAAAGAAAAGCTTTTCTTTACTAGCATCTGCATCACAGTTGAGAAAGGCACAGTCCCTTGATGTCTTGTTACTGGAAGATCTTCCTGGAACAAATAGTTTCATTCCCAGCTAAAGTGAACAATTGCACTATGTCCCCCCTGGTGCCCTGCTGATCTCAGGTGGCCAGCCCACCTCATTTTCAGGTACATTTCTAAGAGTCTCTGTTTCCTACCCCATCTATGTCATACATGCAAGGGCCTCAGAGAGAGGATTACAGTTATTAAGGAGTCCATCTATATTCTCTGTAGACCCTAATATTAAGCAAACAATGCAGCAGCACACCTTCAGCTGCTAGCCCATGCTGGTCCAGAGCAAGCCATCTTATTGCCAGCAGTCTTCTTCCTCCTTGACTAATGCAGTGGTCTAAAGGACCTTCTTCCTAATCTGGTTAGGAGATTTCTTGTGATCATTTAACCTGGCAGTGTTGGAAATCAAGGCAGAAGTCAGAATCAGAGTGAGCGTTGGCTATATAAGAAAATTGTTTTTTTCCCTCTGCTGCTCACCTTCCTTTCCAGTTAGAAAGGCAGCAATGGTGGTCTCACCCAGCTTTGTGTCTCTGCAGTCACATGCCAGGGCTGATCTGCTGCTACCCTGTAATCCTATAGGAACCCTACAACAGTTCAACAGTCTCATGGATAAGGAGGTAAATTTAATTATTTAAATAAAAGTTTCCCCATTCTCCTTCCCTTATTGGAAAGCTTTTATTAAAGGCTTTTGGAGATTTCAGAGTGATCTGAGCAATGTGGCATATACAAGGTAAAACCTCAGTAAAATTTGCTGTCTTTATCCAATATGCTGAAGAGTCTGGATGAGTCATTCAAGCCTGAGCCTTTGCAAGCAACAGACCACAAGAACACTGTCTTCGGACAGGCATCCTACCTGGGCACAGCAATGCCCTGCAGAGGCTGCATGAACAGGCCCTCATATCCAGACAAGATCCATCTGCATTCTCCTTTCATTTTCTTTCCAGTTCTACTGCTCTTCCAGTTGCCCCAGGTGCAGGGGCATAACTAAGGGTTTGCCAATCCCTTTTTCTGCTTTCCAGGAGGTCACTCTTGGAAAGGCCAAGAACTGATGGTGACATAACTTGGGGCAGGTGGCACAGTGCTGAAAAGTGCCTCTTTATTTGTGCTTTCCAATATTTGGGCCTGATGGGACAGTAGCTGAATTTGTCACTTGAATCTTTTGCTGATGACTTTCCAAGGCTGTGCCTCAATTGGAACATACGCGTTGCTATTCCAGAATGTGCATTACTAGCAAACCACATAGAAAGTGCAGAGTGCACTTCAAAAGAGGAAGTGCAAACACCACGTCTGTCTCATGAAAAGAAATTAAATACCAAGCATGGGACCCTAAATGGGCGCTAAAAGGCTAATTCCTGCCATTCTCTGGCAGAAGGTTCTTTGCTGACCCACTAGATTTTCAAATACTGAAGTATTTGAAACATACCATATGTGTATGTTCCACAGTCAGATTTGATATTTACAGTTCAAAAGGTCATTAAGATTTGATGAAGCCAACATAACAAAGTACATGCTTTTATAGAAAACTCTAAATGTCACTGTTTAATGCCAGTGCATATCACCAGAAAACTGCTCTTTCACTTGAGCTACCTGCCGAGAACAACTGTGTTCCGTGGTGTCATGGTTTCATAAAAAAAATCTGATTGATAATGAAGGGGCCTACAGCAAAATCTGAATTTTTGGGTCAGGTTTCTTTTACATGAAAGCCCAAACCCACTGCATGAAATTTCAGCTGCATTCCTAGAAATCTGCAGTGATTCTGGCTCCAGAGAACAAACACTCCACTGTTACTTCCTTAGAGCTCTTGTTCAAAATGCCTCTTCTCATGCTGGGATGCTAAACTCATGTAAACATAAATGCATTTAGTGCCAGATTTGCTGCCCAATAGGTATCAAGTGACTTAGACTTCACAGGTAAAGTATAATCCCTTTGCACTGTTTGTGTTCAGGAATTAAACAGTCTAGGGAATATCCTAACATAAGATGTGTTTAACTGTAAGTCTGAGAAGAAAGTTGGAGTGACTTGGTGCAGAATGCCAGTATGATCTGGAGCTGGAACAGGAGGTTTCAGGGTTGAACTGGCACTGCCAGCTTGTATACTTCATTGTATAAACTCAGTTGTGCAAACAAAATGCACTGATTTGCACATCTGCCATTATAATGCATACAAGAGAAACATCAGCATTTGGGTGCCTTTCGAGGTCTGCCTTTGAAAAGCTTTGCCCATTCGGAATACAACAACAGCAGCAAGGTGCAAGGGCTGCTGGGCACAAACATGCACGTAATGCCATTATTCTGGGGCTTGTTTGCTCTTGACGGAGTGCCATCAGCGGTGTCACTCCTCCCGTAGGCCAGAAGGGCTGTACCTGTGCACGGCACGGAAGCAGCATTATGCATGTCCTGTGGTACTCTCTGCTAACCTGCAGCTAAGATTTCTGTCTGCTACAACACTACAAATCAGTAATAAAACAATGCCAGTCCTAAGAAGGGAGAAACCATCCTGGAAAAGTGCTAATGCCTTCTATAGTAAAGCATGAAAAAGCCATGCAAATGTAACAAGTAGGCACATAACTGCACCTACCCACCCTAACAGCAAGTGCTATAGCACACCGGGCAAGAAAAAAAGCAGCAGCATGAGGTATGGCCATCAGTGCTGGCACTGATGATCAAATCAAAATCCAAAGATTAACCAGGACAGTCAGCTTGAAGTGTGAATTACAAAAGTTCAGCAAAATAGCAGCGTGAGAACATCACAAATATTTTGCAGCATGACAAAGAGCTCATCCTTAATAAGGAGAACTGGGGGAGAAGGGAAGCTTTTCCATCCCTGTATTTGTGATACTGCTCGTTGTTGATAACATCTGCATGAAGTGTTCCTTTCCCATTGCTTCCAGAGGACTCCCTTTTCTCAGTAAGCAGCAAAGTAACTGGGAAATCCTGCGAATACAATGGCACCACCTACCATCATGGAGAAATGTTTGTGGCAGAGGGGCTTTTCCAAAACAGGCAAGCAAACCAGTGTGCCCAGTGCAGCTGCTCAGTAAGTACCGTAATTTGTCAGAGCCTTGCTCTGTCTATGCTTCATTTTGCCTGTCTAGCAGACGTGACACTGAAATGTATGCAACATGCAGCACACAGCAGAGGCTGGGAATTGGGAATTGATGCTGAAACTCACAAAAGCACTCTGAGCCAGCCCGTGGCACATGGGGAATGCCAGGCTACCTCTTACTCAAACACAGTGGACAAAGCTTACCCTGTCAAGCATCTGCTGTAAGTAAGCTTACAGCAGGCAGGCAGCAGGTAAAATATTGCTACTTGGCATAAGAAAATATTTCACCTCAACCTGACTGGAAAATAGAGCACTAAATCAGGGACTGAACCTGGATTGATTTGTACTGAGCTGCTAAGAGCCTCACAGGCTCTTAGACTGGGCAGCAATGTAGCCTGAGCCTGGGCCACAGAGCTGTTCTAGGTGTCACCAGCTCAGATCCAGCATATTTGAGCAGTCCCCGTCTGAAGTACAACATCCCTCTCGATCCAATCAGCTCTTTAGTATCATGACCTTCTCTGATCAAATTATCATCACATTCAACATTAATTACAAATTGAACAGGCGCCAACTACTGAACAAACTTTGTGACTGCAGGTTTGAGTCACTGCTCAGTTCTTCCTCCACCTCAGTGGTAAAACACAACAAAAGGAGAGCAGCAGGAAGAATTTTATGCCAGGTGGCTTTAGTAGCAAGGTCAGATAGATTTTAAGCCTACAATCACTGCAGTTCTTTCCCTCCCCACAATTGCTTTTTTCCCCATTTTTTAAAAGAAAGAAACCTTCCTCTACGTGACAATAAATTTAAGAAATGCTATTCAGACTCTTCATTGGTCTCATATTCTGCGTTTGGCTACTACAGTGGCATTTATGTAAACACCTACACTGGATTTAAATATGTCCATAAAAATGTATATACAGTACCATATGAATTGATGCCTCCTTCTAAATGCTCCTTGTTTACCGGCAGGAAGGAAATGTGTACTGTGGGCTGAAGACTTGTCCCAAATTAACTTGCTCTTTCCCAGTCTCTGTTCCGGAGTCCTGCTGTCCGGTCTGCAGAGGTAAGTGTTACTCCGCCCACAGGACACGCGGGGGAAAGCACTCCTTCCCCTGTCACAGCCCTGCCTGTGCACCAGCACTGGGTTCAGGACACCACAAGTTTCCCATTTACTCACAACCCAAGGCATGTTGGGAGGCGAAACCTCACGTTCCAGCAGGGTAGCATTGCTGGCTTTGTTTTCCTAAACTGAAACAGGGAGAGAATGCACTGATGATAAAGCTGCATGCTCATAATGAGGTAAATCGAGGCTTCAAATGATGAACTGAAATAGGTGCCATTACTTTGGGTAGAAAAGCTTTGAAATAAAAGATGAGCTTCTACCTGACAAGTTACCAGACCTGCTCGAGTTATACAAGACACAAGAATTTCAACTCAGAGGGTAAGACCACTTACTCCAGTTTAAATTAGATGTCGATCTATATTCAGCTAACGTTGGTATTTTACTAGCGATTGCATTTTGGAACATGCACACAGAGAACTTGATTACAAGGAAGCATGCTGCCAGCCTTCCCAGCCTTCCCAAACATCTAAACCGAAATGTCTGTCTAAAAGCCTGTCTAAATATCTGTATATGTATTTCATCTCACTACTGCCATTTGAATCAGCACTTTCAGGGTATCTAAGCACCTCTGGCCAGCTCTCAGAGATGCAGGCAGGCACCTAAGGGTGCCTGAAGTTTTCTGAAGGGCCACTCTATTGTTAGCAGCGATGCCAGGCTGCTTTGAAAACCTTTCCTGCTTGCATCTCTGTCCTTCTGAAATTCTCTAATTCTCTTTGTTTGTACTTGGGACTATTGCATGGTGAAAATAGGAGTGTTGTATTGTCAGTTGCATAGTTTTGCCTATGGTTGTTGAGAAACACAGACTAACAGTCCCCCGGTCCACACAGTCTGAAGCACAGACACTACAGTAGGCCTTGAAGGAGCAAGTTCTCAAGCAGAAGCTGTGTAGTCATGTCAGAGCAGCAAGCTGTCTAAGCTAGTTAACCTACAAAGTTGCAGTGGTAATTAGCTTAAGTGTGGCACCATGCAGGAACTGACATAATCTCCCGGTAGGGCAATGCTGTGAGCTGCATAAAGACATCCTCCCAGTCAGAGCAAGGGCGAGGATTTCTGTGCAGTACTCCTTTGCCTGAAAATTATTGCTCATTCTCTGCTGCTTTGCTGCGTTACTGCGAGGCACCTTTACAAATCCTGAAACTGTTTGCGGGATGAACTGCTTATGAAGCTGACCTCAGGAAGGCAAGGTCATGGTCCTAATTTCTCAGGGTGAAATCTAGTGATATATTGGTTTACATTTATTACATTGACAGTTCAATTAAAGCAAGTCCTTGCCATTCGTATGATTCCTGGTGTCTGCTCCCTGGTAATTATTGGATCTGGATTTGAAACCAACCTCTGCCAGCTGCAAAAAACAAACTGCCTTTCAAAGTACAAAGTGTCGGACCTAGGTATGCTCCAGCCTCATGCTGCAGAATCAGTCACTGCAGCCCGAGAGTCACTAGTAAGGCAAAAGCTCTTTAGAATTTCCATGTAAGAGGTGAGATTAAACTGGGTTATGCAGTAAAGGAGACTCAGTGTCTCCATTTATGCACAGTTTTTTGTGTATTCCACTGCCTTTAATTCTTATTAAAATTGCCATTTCTCTCATAATCAACCTTGTCCTTTGCAGTATGGGCTGAGCTGTTTTATCTCCCCCCTGTGACTCTCACAAAACGCAAACCTAAACAAAATGTTTGCATCGAGATCTCAGCACAGCTCATGAGGAGGAAACCAAATCAATTTCTGTTCCCTGCCTGGCCAAAAGTACTAACATAATATATTCAAAGTTGCTGATTTTCGTGTTTGTTGCTCTCCTACTGACTAGAGAAAGCTTCAAGCACTGTGGTTCAGATGCTGATTTATGTCAGGATTCAACTTCCTCTTAAGTTAAAGTTCTCAAAATGCAGAGGATAAAATGATAACATGTAGTACGCCAGAAGGTAGTGGGTCCGTGGTGGATCTGACCGAGTGAAACCCAGCTAAGCCCAGAACTGGAAACACACCTGCATGGGCACCGTGGCTCTCCCAAGGCGGTATCACACACTTCTCTGCTGCAGCAGCTGTCCTGGGGCAAGGGCCCAAGGCTGTGTCTGTGCCTGGCCCTGCCATGAGCCATCCGTGTAGAGCAGCAGGCTCGTGCTGTGGTGGTACTGCACTGCGCTCTGGTCTAATTGCTTGGCACATCCAGAGCTAGGCTTGGAGCCACTAGCAAAACAATTTTATCTGGACCTATATCTGAATTCCAAGGCTGGGATAAATTCCAAGGTCAGCTCCACACTAAATGATTTCTCCTGTTCTTGTACAAGTTTTCCAAGAATCAGATATCAGTTCAAGTTCCATGGCTTGTCCTACCAAGGAACACCTCTAACTATGTCTTTAACAACTTCTTAAAGCCACATTCTCCCCCTAGCCTGAACTGATGTTTCCCTGCTGCAAATTTCACTGTGGCTCACGCTCAGCTATGTATATATTTATGAAGCTTGTCTTTACCCAGAAAACAGCTGGACGCTACTCCTAAATAGAAACTGAGAATTTCTCCTTTCCAACTTTCCTTTCCATGAATCACATTTGGCTGTGAGGAGCCAGAGCCTGGCTTTGCAAGCCCCTCACACTGATTCGCAAAAGCATTTGTTACTTCTGCCTTAAATCTACAAATTGCAAGTGCTCTAGCAAAACCCTTTCTGTTCTAAAAGACAAGTCAGAATGCCCTTGCTTTGTTATGAGTGTCATTGGTGTTAGGAGCCTTATTCTGTACTACTTTTATTGGCCCGATTCAAAAATAACAGTGCTGAACATCTCACACTCTGCTGTAACTTATTGCAGTGTTATTCACTGGCTTCCACATGAATTAACAAATTTTATTAAGTGAAGCATAAATAAGAAGGAAAAAAAAAAAGACATGGGGTATGGGGTAGAAAATTTGCAGGACAAAGTCTGGCATATATTTTCCTGATATATATAATAAAATGTTGAAATGTTAATTAATGACTCCACTTCAGAGGGGACTACAAAAATGTAATTCAGGCTGTGATTCTCAGGTAAGTTACTGTCAACTGAGCAACAGTAGCTGTGCTTATGCACACAGCAGATGGAAGGTCACACGATTTAGCCTTTCGGAGAGCTAAGCTATGTCTCCTTGTCTTGAGTACCCACACTGGTGGGTACTGGAAGTCATCTAGCCCATAGCATCTCACTAAGCCACATAAATCTGGTAGTAAATCTTCATCCTGAGCTTGCTAGATATTGGGAAGTCATCTTCCTTTTGCTCTCTGCAGAATCTAGTGACAAGCAGGTCAGACTACAGACTGACACTTCTACACACTAATGCAACCTCCACCTTAAACGTAGCTTTAAAGCTGGGTGAGACCTTTCCCCTAGGTACATCCCTGAGCATTGCACAGTTACTCCCCTGACTGATACTACTCTGCTTCGTGTCCAGGAGATGGGGAGTTATCCTGGGAACATGCCGACGGAGACATCTTCCGGCAGCCGGCCAACAGGGAAGCTGTAAGTGTGACCTACAATTTAAAGACACATTTTCCTGCCGTACATGGCAATGTATAAAGGAAAAATAAGAAAAGGATATTAACAGATCTGGCAAGGTATAGGAATATCTGCTGCAGCAAACTCCTTAATAAACTCAACCTGAATGCATGAGTAACCCTGAATTACAAACTGCCATGAGCTCCTGAGGGCTCTGGATTTGGTCTTCATTGTATATGCTCTACAAGAATAAAATTCCGAAGTGTTTTGTTTGCTATGCAAGCAACACTTTAAAATCATGATTACAAACCCCTTCCCAGTTGACATTCATACATATGTATATTTACGTTAGGGGCTTCACTGCCTCTGGGATTAAGAGTAACCACTAACAACTTGCTCCTCAAGAGAAGCTTTTTATAACAGCACTTGGAGAGAACATTAAGAGCTTTTAAGCATTAGGCACACTACCCAAATACATGAACCAACAGGTCTTTGGATTAGTGAGACGAATTATGCCTCATAAAATAACTGCTGTAACACACACTATTCCTTCATGCCCATGGGTATTTCGGAAAATCATTATCTGAAAACAACCACCGTTTTTGCTCTAGAAAACATACTGCACAGACTGCTTCCCTCTGCAAATCCAATGAGATTTCCCTGTCTGCGAGACAGATTCCAGCAAGGTTCTCCTCAGTCTGTGTGAAGTCGGCCAGCCCTGGCCCTGCAGGAGAGTTCAGAGCAGCTGCAAGCAAACAAGGATCTGGATGGTCATTGTGCATGTGTGCTCTGCCGCTGCAGCCTGAGGAGAAAGCAGTTCTGATGAGGAAGACTAGACAGGCTCACTTATCCTTATCTAATCTTGAAACAGACATAAGTAACGAATATGTCTAGCCCTGAACTCCATCTCTAATAAACAGAGTGAAATAGGCTCTTCTGCAATGTGATTCATCTCCTCATGATGTAGAGATCCACAACAGGTCAGATGAATCATGTTCTAAAAGTGCTTCCCAGTGCACTGACTAGATCAGGGACTTGAGATGCCAAACTTAGATACAGACACCTAGACCGAATGCAGAGCGCGGTGAGCTGAGTTCCAGCTGTGTACGTGCAGGGGACTTCATTGCCATGTTAATTAGCTGCAAAACCTGTATGGCCTTTATTTGTATGGTGCCACTCAGTACTTTTGAGGCCTGTTTGATGGTGGTGGTGGCAACAACCACTGCCTGCATTAAGCATCTGGTACGGCTTCTTTCACCATGCTCATTGGTGCAAGACATTTACTTGCCTGCCCCTTTGTGTCTCCCAACAGAGACACTCGTACCACCGCTCCCACTACGACCTGTCACCCAGCTCCGCCAGGCAGGTGGTCAATGTGCCACGGTTTCCCAGTGCCAGGAGTAACCGCGGAGTCCTGCCAGATCCCCAGCAAGCATCTGGAACAATCGTACAAATTGTCATCAACAACAAGCACAAGCACGGACGAGGTAAAGATGAGTACTTCTTATGGTATTACCCTGGGTCAGGCACCTCCCTACAGCTCAGAAAGAATCCTCCAAATACATGGCAGAACCTTGGAAATTCGCACTGGTATCAGGAGACTCAGTGCAAATCACAAAAGGCAAAAGCCACAAACTATTAAGGATACGAAATCAGCTCTTGACTAAGGTCAGTTGTGCCTGCACATATTACAGTGCATTTCACTCTGCACAGACACCACGCTGTTGTGCTGCTCTCTGAATCACTTTGTGGGATGGTACCGCATAGCTCTGAGCACACGTGCTGCTGTGAGCAGCCAAGCGAGCACTTAGAGCCAGAAAGGACACTACGATGCCCTTAGATTTGCTGGGTGGTTCACATGGTGACTTGTCCAGTAGGAAATAGACAGTGGTTATTTTCTTTTATTTTCCTATCTTGTAATTTTACTAGCTGTAAAAAGTACGTGTTTTAACTACCCCAGAAATCTCAGACCATAAACCTTTGCCATAGTATCAGGGAATTTTCTGCCTCCAAGGCTTATTAAATTATTCTCAAGAAAGAAAATGTCATGACTCCCCTCACCGTAAGGCAGTTGTCAGAGATTCAGGGGGCACTTCTCCCTTGTGTCTAACAGCAGAGGCAAAGTAAGCAATTAGCCTAGACTGGATGCTGTAACCAGGCAAAGTCAACCAGAGTAATGAGTCCCTTAGTGCCTTCTGATAATATGAGACACACCACATCATGGGGACAGCAGGACTGCCCATCTGCCAAACTTTATACAAACAGGACGGATTCCTGCTGCATTACAGAACAGACAAAAATAGAGGGAAAATATCAATTCTCCCATTTGTGGGACAGCAGGTGCTGTGCAGTACAAAGGGTAGGATGCTCATTTCCTGGGGGGGGGGTACCTAAGTCACTGGAGGTCTGCAGGGACAGGCCTAAGAAGCCATAAAAGAAATAGCTGGAAATGTACATGCTCAGAAAAGCAGCTATCCACAAATACCAGTCAGTACGCACTCAGAAACTACCCACAAAGAGTTAAAAGCTCTTGTATTAGGGCCAACTAATCTTTTAAGGTATTAACTAACAGAAGGAATGTTGGCCATAGGATCTTTATTATCCACCTGAACAACCATGAAAAAACATTCAGATCATGCCAGTGTTTTATGCTGAATCTAGGAGCAGGAATCTCCACACAGTGCAATATCTTTGACATGTAATTCATACATGAAGACATCATCAAAGAGATTTCTAACCAATTTGTTTCAGCAAATAAAAAGCGTACAGACAAGTAGCATATTTCTGGATGCAGTAGAGTAACTGCCACAGCTTCAGACATTTTGCTGCCTAGAGAGTGTCTGAGTGACCCCCATGATGGAAACCGGAATGCTGACCATGTATTTTCTTTTGTTCTTATGTAATTAACAAGTATTTTATTAATTAATGCATATGCCCCTTGAGACATATTTCAACAAGCTAAAAAATAAACACATAGCAATTACCCTGAAATGAAAATAATGTGAAATAGCATGGGTACAGGTTTATAATTCTGAACATGAAGAGTACTGAAAACAGGGCACCTGGGAGCTAGAAGTTACTGTGCCGTATTTGGGCTTCCACTGGAGGCTTCATCTGCTACCTCAGAGTACTCATTTAACTGTTCTGTGCTAAATAAATCCTTGAAACAGAGAGAATGTATCTACATTCTATCAAGTAGTATCTCTTCCCCTGTCAGGAAATATTTATGTCTATAAAGGATCTGGAGAACTCTTGCTGGGGAAGCAATCTATGTACACATAGATATAATGAATAATACAGTATTTAAGCATGTAAGGAGCCTGCTGAGTACTTACTAGTTTTATCTCATTTATAGGTTTTTCTCTCATGTTCTCAGTATACAGACAATAGATTATTTGCTTTTTTGTGAGAATAAAAACTGTTTTCCACCACTAAAACAAAACCATGTCTTAAGAAAGAGTTAAAAAGTAGCAAATTATAAACCAAATGATAGCATAACCCCATGAAAGACAATACATTACAAAGAACACTCACCATAAATCTCAGTAACTCAGTAAAAGTATAAGCCAGTTGGTCACATCTGTTACCAGTTAGATGTAAATTTCAGATTACAGATAAAAATTAAATTGCTCTTGAAAGTTACAGGCAAAATAGGAACATATTTTACAAATAAAAGCATTAATAAAAATGATGGCATATTAGAAGAATTGGAAATATTTACAACATAGCCCAGCTACACTTTAGTTGCTTTTAGAAATCTGGCAGTGCCCTTTCTTTCACCTTGTTAGGATTAGTTTGCATTTTTCTTTGTGTTTATAAAATATTTAAAAAGAAAGAAGTAAGGTTTATAGGACAAATGTAGACATGGTGTAAAGTGATATAATTCCCATTAACTGCAGGGTGACCCAAACTGGCTTCCACCAGGTATGGATTTTTCCACTCTCCTTTTGTAAGTTGTACTTCTCTGTCTTCCAGAGGCACTGATTAAAAATATTCTGAGATGCTTAGATGCTGTTTGAATGAAATTTCAGTCCCATGTGCATCCTTTCAAGTTAATGTTTTCTTGTGATTCCCAAAGCCAAACGTCCCTACATACCCATAGACACACACATCTCCACAATGGACTTCAAACTTCATTTTGCAACATTCCCTTGGTCTTGCTCTGTGTTCTGTAGCAGGAAGTCCCACATGAAAGTGAAATAAGGTCCAGGTGGCACTAATCCACCCTGTTGATATCATGGCTCTCCCTGCAAAAGCCACGTTCAGCTAACGCTAGGAGAAGTTGTGCAGATGACTCAGTAGCAAATGTCATGATTTTGCCAGCTGTAGATTCAATTCTAGAAACCAGAGCCAATTTAGCAGGCTGTGTCCTGTGTGTGGACTAAGAGCAGGAGGGGGAAGAACGAATTAGTTTTTTAAGCTGCTTAATGATGCACAACTGAAATGTGTGCAGTGGAGAGGAGCTAGTCAAATAGTTGACTCAGCCACCTTCAATGTCCTCCTCCTCAAAAGAGCGATGGACACTGGCATCAGCAGATTTGGAACCAAGGCAAATATGCTTAGAAATGAGTGATCACAGGCTCAGACTCATTTGAAGTGGCAAAACTCCGACTGAAGTTAACAAGCAGTGAAGTGAGCCAGAGACACTAACAAATGATAGAGGGAGACACTGCTTTAAACAAATGTGCATGAATTAAATGAACATTTGTGGAGGAGTAGCCAGTGAACGTACCTTTTCCAGTTGTACTTCTTTTTCCTTTTCTCTTCTTTTGTAGTTTGTGTTTCAAATGGCAAAACATACTCCCATGGTGAATCTTGGCACCCTAACCTCCGGGCCTTTGGAATCGTGGAGTGTGTGTTGTGCACCTGCAACATCACCAAACAAGAATGTAAGAAAATTCATTGTCCAGAACAATATCCCTGCAAATACCCTCAGAAAGTAGAAGGAAAATGCTGTAAAGTCTGTCCAGGTAAAACAAAGAGTTGATCACAGACCACCTTTTTTCTGTGCATGTTAAGGGTCTTGGCTCAAGCCTTCTGGTCACAAGATCTGATGAAAACTGCAATAGCAGTACCCACTGTTCTAACCTGTGTGCAGATATCACAGTGGGACAGGTAGAGCTGCCTGGCCAGCCCTCCTGTTAGCTGCTGTTCCTCAAATGGGGGGGCTTGCTGTGTGGGGCACATACATTCTCATCAGTCACTGCCTTTTTCTCTACTGTTAGTATGACTTCCTGACACTCATTTCCAAAGAGAAAATTATAGAAGCATACACAGACAGTCCATTACTGTCGAAAGACTCTCCCATCCTTCCCCCACTGCAGTATTCTCAGAACATTCGAAGCATTTTCTAGCTTGTGAAATCTGCATGGACCTAATATTGTTTCTCCTTTTCAAAATGTACCAGAAGGACTCAAAAATTCTGACTACAAAATGATTGGTGTCAATTATATAATTTAATCCTTAAAATAAATACTAACCTATCATAAATTTAGCATTAAGTTTCTGTACTGCAGTAATGATTAAACTTACGTTGACGTGCCTACAACTAGTGAAAAATCTGTTAGTAGGATGAATCTGTTGGTGGTCTGCCAAATGATCAGGTGTGTTGCATATGATAAAAAGAGTAAAGGAGCGTCCAATTCCCTTCTGTGCCTCTGAACTTCTTTTCTAATCTGTATGGCCCATTTCTGTGCTTAGCTGGTGATGCATTGGGTGGAAGTGCTCTAAGGAAATGAGTTGTTCAGTTGCATATGGAAATCCTTCATAAAGCACACACTGCACTTCTCTTGCTAGCCCTGCTAGCTGGGAAAAAGCTCAATGCAGTGGCAGTAGGTTGGAAGGAGATGTGTGTTTAGGCTCTTTTGGGTACTTGTGGATCTGAGATACACAGCATTCAACTCATCTGAGATGAGAATAGTCAGCAAAACTAGCTAACAGGCTTCAATGGAAAATGTAAGAGCAAACTGAAAGTTACCGTCTTTTGGAGATTCTGTGCACCAATTGTTCAGAAAGCTGAATGTCTTCTGATCTGTCCTCTGAGTTGCATCGTCTCTCTCGCATTCCTGTCCAACTTCCAATTGCATCAGAATAATGACAATTTCCACTTATATGCCCTATGACTTTCCCAGGTGGTCATGAGATAACGTGTGCTGTGTCTAGCCAGGCATGCACTGATCTCCTGGCTGGCCACAACCCTGTGTGCTGACCAGCCAGCTGGCTGCTGCTGTCTCCCTGCCCTTTTCCTCAACAAAGCAATATTTTGGGTCTCTTCATTCTCTCTAACCACTGATTTTCACTGTTAATTAATTATTTCTGAGACTTCTACTGTTACTGAAAAATGGACAAGTTCAAAGATCATGAGGAGTCTCACAAACCCGTACAACATATTTTGTTACAAAACTGGATTATAAATACAAATACTGTCTCGCCACCACAGACAGGCAATCAGAACCTAGCAGAACAGAACATTATTGAATGTCTGGGGCTTAGCTGGAGATGGATTTGAAAGACCATACAAGTGAACATATGAGCTGGACCCAGTAATCCTTATGGGTCTCTTCCAACTTGGGATATTCTATGGTTCTATGAAAATTCTAATTTTAAACTAAACCTGCTTGGCTGTTGGTGCCAAGTAAGTTCTGGAAGACTTGATTACAGCTGTAGAATGTGTTTTGGGCTTTTTTTAAACAGAAGAAGTGCCAAGTCAAAGCTTTGACAACAAAGATTACTTCTGTGGGAAAGAGACATTTCCCGTCTATGAATCCGTTTTCACAGAGGAAGGAGAAACCATCAGAAAAATTGCAGTAGAGACTGAAAAGCCACCCCAAATAGAAATACATGTGTGGACAATTAGAAAAGGTGAGTTGAGTGGGTGAGTGGGTTCTTTCTTTAAAACATGTATCGTCTTCCATTAAAATCCCAGAACGATATAAAATCCAAGCATCTTACTGCTGCTGTTCTTCTAGCTATTTAGGGTATCACTACCATGACCATGTCAAACATACACTTTGCTGAACAAACACCATTAATAACACCCAAAGCTCTACTTCTACAAACTCCTGGACACAAAACCAAATCAGCTGTCAGTAATGTCCCTGGTAATTTATTGCAGAGGAATGGACAGTAGGGTTTGAAGCAAGTGTTTGGAGGTTTTTATAGGATGGACCCGCATGCTTGCCACTGAAATCACTGTCTGCCCTATCAGCCTCACCAATATGTACCTACATCTATGATGCTCTAGAATATTGGCAAGAAATGTATTAAGGGTGGAAGCAGTATCTTTTAGTAGATCAATTTGTAAAGCTAGAAGGAAATTGAAAAGTTTTCAGAAGCCCATGCATTTCTGCATATCCTGAACAGCTAGTGTGGTTAAATTATTACCTCCAGCTCCCTCAAAATCCTGTCTACTTTATCCAATTTAAGCAAAAAGCACGTGATCCTCATAGGAAACCCTCATGTAGTGCAGCCCTTACCATGGAGATGATACATATCCAGAACGCACTTCAAAGCACAAAGCCAAACCTCAGCTGTGAGCAGCAAAGAAGTCCCAGGGGGGCTGACGGTTAATAATTACTCTGTGTGTTCAGGAAGCCACGAAGCCTTGTGATGACTTGATAGTGATGTTGTCTGCTAACTCATGACAGGCAAAATGGTATCTGACAACAAAATGATACTGTTTTTATCCAAGACACTGGGATTTTGGCTTCTGTTGCAATCTTACATTTACTCACACTAAGGAAGGTTTCAGCTATGTTGGAAAAGAATCAGCTAATTCTCACACCCCTCAGAAACTCTCTGCAATCATAAATCCACAGAAGATAAACACTGGGGTAGCAAACAGAGTCAAAAAGAATAGGCTGAAAATCCACATTATCGGTAAGGATTATTTCACAATGTGGCTCGACACAGCAGTCATTCCACATAAAGGCTGGGCAGCAACCCAGGCTTAGAACAACAGGCGCACTTCCAGTAACACGCACTTCTCCTTTCTTTGCTGAAGGGATTCTGCGCCACTTCTACATTGAGAAAGTGTCCAAGAGGGAATTTGAAGAACTTCCCTACTTCAAGCAGATAACAAGGACAACCCCTAGTAAGTAAAATTCTGACCTCGTCAGATTTCTATTGTCCATGTAATTACAGCCTTGAAAAACATACCATGTTACTCAACACAGCCAAGCAGATGTACTCATTTTCCTCCAATACATGGCATCAATATGTGTAAAATTAAATAATCAAAATACGGCAATTTAAAATACAAATGCATGTAACAAAAACTCATGTTCAGGCTGTGTTAGTCTCCTATCATTCTGAGAAAATACAAGATTGTCTGTTTTCTGCTTGTGCTGCTATAAGTCTGAAATATGGCTGATGTCAGTAAAACAGCACAACTGGACTTTATTTAAGACAATATATATATATATATACATATATATACACATAAATATATACACATATATATTTATGTTATATTTGAAAGAAGCCTTTCCTACGTTCTTAGTTACATATTTACTATTAAAATCTGTCTTTTGAAAAGTTATGCAATTTATTTATCACTCTTGATTCAATTTCTTTTTTGTATTTCACCCAGCTTGGGATATGACACTTAATGTGACAGTTTAATTGAGGTATAGACATTTACAGTTCCCAGTTCTTTTGCACTAAAAGTTGACATTTTTTCTGAGGTCCAATTATGCAAGGAAGTATTTTATCCAGGAATACTTGGTTCTTGGTAATACAGTCTTAGTTAGAAGTAGGCACCTTTTCATCTAGAAAGTTTCCTAATTTTTTCCTTTCAGCCTTCTCTACACATGTTGTTATCTGTACTATCATATTCTAGTTACCAAGACATCAGGCATTCCTATTAAAATTATCAAAACCATACAGAAATACTAATATCTAACAAATACAGTTTGAATTATACACAGAGAGACAGAGTTCATATTGCATGAAAAACTTCGACTTGTTTCCTGACTTTTAAATACTTAGTTTTACCATCAGATTTCAAGTCTCAAATCACTCTGTCATAAAGCAGAGGATCTGTTTTCATAACTGGATGAAATAAACAGGTCAATTTATACTACTAGTTGGTTAAAGAAAGGGATAATATTCAGGTTCTTGTTTATTATTTGTAACAAAGTTATTTTGCATGGAATATGTTACATGATTGTAAGATACTTCGAATATTTTCCGTGGGAGGATTGGACATCCTCTCTTTGACCACTATGAATCAGTTTGTCTGAAGAGTGCTTGTGACTCCAAAGTTCCCTATGCCCTTTCTAAGTCAGTATCTTTCTCCTTTGTATTTTTGTTTTCAGGCCAGTGGAAAATATTTAGCGAGGGAGAAGCTCAGATCAGCCAAATGTGTGAAAGCAGAGTGTGCAGGACTGAGCTCGAGGATTTGGTAAAGGTTTTGTACCTTGAGAAGTCTGAAAAGGGTCACTGTTAAGGGAGACAGCACTGGAGGGAGAAACACAAGAAAACTTATGAAAACTTGGATCTGCAGCTGGACTGCAGGCTTATTTTGCTTAAGTCAACAGTTGCCCTAAAAACCAAAAACTATAATGCAGTAATTATTCACATCATGCACAGCAAATTTGCTGCTTTATGTGTAGTGGTCTGTGTCAACCAATTCAAGTATCTCCTCCAAAAGACTATGAGTCTCTGTATTACTGGTGGAAGAAGGAGAAAGAGAGACTGTACTTTCCCCGAATTGCAGTTCTTTACTAGTTAAAAAAAAAAAAAGAAAACAGAACATTTTTATTATTATTATTTGGCAAGTTATTCAAACTAACGAAAAGAAGGACACCTAATAAATGTGCAGGAGCTATGGAGAGCATTATTTCCTGTGCCGAGTTTATACCATTTCTGGTGTTGAAATGACTCATGGATCTTTTTTAGTTGTGGAAGAAAAATACAAGTGATAAAATACTTGTGTTGGAGACATATAAAACAGATTTAAACTAACAAACTCCTAAGCAGCCTGCCTTTGGGATGATGTCTTGTAGTTGAGCAAACTGAGTCCATAAACTGAACAGCAGGTGTTAGTGACAATCACTATATTTTTGTAGCAACTTGAGCAAACGTTCGCTTTTAAGTGGTTTTCACTGTGTCCACCACCCACTTCTCTCAAAAATGTAAGTATTAGCTCCCTATCACAGCCCTAATAACTTCATTCTTCTGGGCCCTATTAATGCACAGTCTTGGCTGATAAACTGCCTTCTGCAGTGATGTGAAAGAAGGTGGTGAAGTACTTGAAGCACTTTCAAAACTCCTGGAGGGTTAAACCTCCCAATTAATAACTCCTTAGAGTTGCCACAGTGCTTAACTTATTTATTCTCATTTGTTACAAAACTAATCTGCATTTTTCTGATGGTGGCCTCTCAGTTCTCAGGCTTCAAGGACAGACCTCTCCCGTGACAAATATCAAACAGCTACAGCAAGCCTCTAGAACACAGCGGACCTGTGAAAAGTGTTATATTGGTGAAAAAGAAATTTGAGATACTCTTAAATTTAGTGTAGCATGTCTACAGTGTGTTTAAGAAAGGTGGCTCCCATCTCCAGAAAGAAAAGAAGTATAAGGTCATTACTTTAAAAACTGTTTTCTCTGAATGTGAGTCACCAAAATGCTGCACTGCCTCATGGCTGCAGTGTTGGATTAATTCCCACAAAGCAAGTGACTCTGCCTGCTTTTGTCCCCTTTTTCTATTCCACAAGAAGGAAGGAATACTGCTGTTCATACACACACTAGGAAACAAAGCTTTATGGAAATGGTTTGAGCCAGGGGCTGTGTCTTCATAGGGATTGAAGTCAATACTGACAGCAAGGATTTTGAGGTTTGTCATCCTGCCAGTGACAGCACTGCAGGGGTGAACCCATTTCTAAAGGGATGGAGGTGTGAGAGAGCTGAGTGCTGAATGCCAGAAGCTAAAGCCTGTTTCAGGCAAAGCTTCGCCACCCTGAGGGGATGCTGGCAGCCTCCCTCTCAGCACAGGCCTGTCGGGCAGGCTGCTTCATGGCACCCAGCCTGCCTCTGCCGCGGGCAGCATCGGTAGGAGCGCAGCGCAGGGCTTCTCAGCAAAGAGGAGCGAAGTGAGAGGGACAGACAGAAAGTGACAGAAAAGCTGAAGGGAACTAGGAAAATAACATATAGGGTGATCCAGGACATTGTGGCTCTCCAGTCCTCAGCAATCTTGCCTCTATATAACCACCGCATTGTCCCTAGGCCTGGTCAGAGCACAGATAACACATAGGAACATTTCCTTCCCTGCCAAGCATTCAACTCAGCCCACTGTGTAACAGGAAAACATGCTAAAAAGGGAGCATTCAGGTAGATTTGCAGTAATAAAACATTCTTGCCTGCTATCAGTAAGAGCCAAACCTCCTTGAGCCACAGTGTGGAGACCTGCTCCAGCGCGGGCTCCCCTTAGCCCACAGGGAGCTCCGGGCCTGGAGCCTGTCCTGCCCTGCCCTTGGGGCCATTCCTCACACCAAACCCTCGCTGCCGGCAGCACTTTGCCCTCTCTGAAATCCACTTTCCCCAAGGTGTTCCCAGGGTCACTGCTGGGCCCAGCTGGGGCCCTGTGGTGGGGCAGCTGGAACCAGCCGGCCCTGACTCTGACAGGCCTGGGGCAGCCCTGGCCTCTCCTCACAGCGCCCTGCAGGCCACTGGGCACGGACACCAACATCACTGGTTAACGGGCACCTGGCCATTAGAAGGCCCATACCACTGTTCATAACAGGAGAGCTAAGTGAATCATCCCAGCAAGTTTCTGTAGGATCCCAGCCTCTGCCTCCATAAATGCTGTGTTGGTGTTTGGGAGGGGCGTAGAGCCTCCTAACCGGGGCCCCAAGACCTCATGCAACGTAATTAACTGTAGAAGCAGCAGCTTGGCATCAGCAACACCCACAGCATGCGGCATCTATTGGGTTGGAATGTGCTGTAGAAGTGCTAAATTTCACTAGAAATCTTCTAACAAGTCATGAATTAATCCTTTGGTGAAGACACTGTAAGGAAGACTTTCTGAGGAACTGTCGCGATCAGGTGGGAAGACCAGCAGTTGTCTTCGCACCTCATGGGCGTAGTCTGCTTGTAGCAGTAGCTGGTGAACAAAGACTAAGTGGAAAGTGTACAGTATTGTGTTTTTTTAAGAAGAAGAAGGCAACCAGCTTTTTGTATTTCTGACAGGACCAGTGGAGTCCAGATTGTGTATTTATTTTATAATAAACATGTTTAAGAAAAGCAAAAAAAAATCATAAGTATCATTTAGTAAAATGCAGTGTTGCATTTTTACAGTTCTGGTCACTTAAGATAATAAAATACAGTGTCATCATGCTTTCAATTCTCTTTGTGGGATGTATGTCTGTTACGGTACTTATTTATGTACTTGTATCACTTTGACCTGGTTTTATAAATTAATAAACTCTAAAGTTGTTAATAAAGCAAGACATTTTGTGCCTGATGTTGCTGGGTCACTGGGTTTCAGTGCTCCTGCCTGCAGCCCTGCTGCTGTCACCTCACAGCAGGCTGGAGCCTCACACGCTCACAGTGCTGGGTGATGTGCATGGCTGCATGACATGGGATCAGACATTAAGTTACAAAAAACTTAGATTCAAAACTTTGACTGCCAGACAGGGTGCGAAGGAAGGCTTCAGCACTTACCCAGGTCCTTAATGCTTCAAGCATGAGCTTAAACCACAAGGACCAGGTGCACCAGCAGTGCACCTAAGATCCCAGGTTATCAAAAACCTAAGAGAAATTTGGAGGTTAAGAGAGGTTGTGACTTACAGCCCCTTACAAGCCATGCCTGACAAGCTCTGGGGAGCGCATTCATGGGAAGCCTTCTGAGCTCAGCAAGAGTGCATAGTCCACCACAGACAAGTTAGCTACAATTAATTCATGGCTGCAATATGCTGCAGTATTTAATCCATAGGAGTGGTAATCTTGCTCCTATTTAAATCTGTTTCAGACCAAGACAGTAAAAGCTTACTCTTTCAACTAATTCAGTATCAATAGGATCAACATTGAGCCCTGACTGTTCAGTATGTCTGAAAACCAGACAAAGCTTGCAGCAGGACATCTGTGTCCCCAGCACTTCACTAGTTCATTCATCCAGGTCTTCTCTCAGGAATGTCTTCTGCTGACTTTTGCAAATCAACTTACACTAGCCACTCATCTCAGCTAAGCTGAAAATCAAGAGAAATAGCACAACCTGGGTAGTGCAAAGAGACAAATGAGAAGGATCAGCCCAGTGTTCAAACTATCAGTTCGTTTAAATTGGTTAATCTCAGGAGACATGATTGTTTGCTTTCAGGACTTGTCTGTAAAGCAACAACAGTATGCTCGGGAGAAAGAATAGAACCTTCAACATAGAAATTTTCTGCTCAGAGATATGTTTGACTTTTGGGAAATACAACATTTAGTTTAGCTTTCACCTACCCTGCATGATTAATTTTGAAAATCAAAGCATTGACAACCATACACGCATTCCAACTAAAGAATTCATCAAGCAGTGACAACTGAGAGAACAGTCCAGGGCATATTGCTTTCTGTGCAATATATATTCTGAAGATCAGAATAATTGATGGAATTGATCTGTGCTAAATACTAAAGAGATGGTCTTAATGAACGTAAGAAAGAAGTGTAAAACATGAACTTACACATGGCTAGTAGTTTAACTAAAACAGAGATAGCAGCCTTGGGAAAGGTGATTGTTCAAAGTGGGTCCACAGTAAATCCCTGTGAATCAGTAAGTACATAAAATCTGAAATTCAAGATGCCTCTGGAAATTCCTCATGAAATTGATTTCTGTTTTTTTTTTTTCATAACCTGCAAATTCATCTTAGCCACCATTTAACTTTAACAAGGCATCTGTTGCAAGGATCCTTTCCGTGAGAACACATTCCAGGCATGCATACCCACTCTGCTCCAAGCTCCTCTTGTACCAGCTCCCTTTTCCAGGGCTGAGAGGTGTGAGCTGTGGACTGAGAGTCACTACCAGTCAGGATTGCACAGCTGCATTCCTACTGGATGTATTCTCCTGATTTCATAACATCCAAGTGATTTTTAGCACTGCACTAAACAATCGTATGTCTCACTTCACTCCTATTTGCCTGTCATGTACTGCAGATCATCTCTGACTCCACAGGACTCTACAGAGCAATGAGGAGTGGCAGGGTACCAAGAGGAGAGCCCTCGTTGGTGCTGTGCTCTTCTGAAATGACTTTTAAACATACCTACACAAGCACAAGAGAAAGAATGTGACAGCCTAAGACTCACATCTTCATACACTCTCCATTAGGAAAAAAAGGTCAAACCATTTCACAATTCAGATGATGAATACTTCCAAAATAATTGATAGCACATGAAGTATTTGCGTAATATTGGTGTGCTCTGGTGCCTATTGTGTTATCCATCTAAGATAAAAGCCAAGATTTTGGAGATTTATTGTGGGAGGGGTGAAAATTGACACAGTTAATCCTTATTTCCATTTATTGCTTTTGTTTGGGGTTTGAGAAATGTCTTCATCTTCTCCACTGAGGTTTTGGACCATTTTACTTCTTGGGTAAAGTACGTCTGCAACCACAGGAGTATATGAACATGAACCCACAACCCTGCCCTTCTCACATAACACCAACCCAACTGTGAGCAGGAATGCAAAGCATCCAAAGCAAAAGCAAGTAATTGAGTTTAACACGAGAAAGCAGATTTTCATGTAGACGCACCAGATGCTAGGTCAGTAAATCCAAAAAAGGCAAGAAGCCTGATTTCACTACAACTCTAAGGAAAAACTCACACTCTGTCCTCAGCTGACCTCAGCTCAAGAGATACATCACCCTAAGCTGTGAGTGCTGCTAACTGCTTCACAAACAGCACCAATAATTAGTTAATCTCTCCACCAAGATCAATTTGATCTCCTACAGAATTATTTCTCCTGTTTCTTTCTCTTCCTGTTTGTTTCAGAATCGCAACACAAAGAAATCAGGTGTGTTCAGGCCAACACAAATTAAAACTGAGTTCTATTGCCACTGAAGTAAATAGTGAAATTCCCAATCCCTATACGAAAGAGTCCCTGAAGAACTTACACTGACACACTATAATGGCATCAACCACATTTTAGTGTGCTGTAGTGTTTCATGTGTACCAAAGGCACATTTTACACTTTTCACCAACAGATTCCCAGCCGCAGTGGTCCTTAGCCAGCACTGTACCTTAATCTGTTCTTCCCCAGCTCCCTTCTCCTCTCTGCCAACAGCTAGGATGGGCAATCAATCAACTTGGTTTGGGGCCTCAGCTTAGAGGTTTAAATAGGAGTCAAGTGATGCTTAAAGTTTATGTACTGATCTATCTTTTTGCTCCACATCTCTAAATGGGAAGATTCAGACTTTCCTGTTAAAACCTCTAGATTGAAATTGATATGGTATTTATTTTCATTTCCTCTATTAAAATGTTGTGCAGCATGGCCAAGCTGTACAATGTTAAAGATGCAGTTCAAGTACAAACTTTTTGTAGTGGTCTCAGGATGGAATGGGAAATGATGCAGCAGCATCAAACAAGAGAAGTGAGACCTGGGGACATTTCTTTTTGTTCACAAGTGAAATTATCTGTAGAATTTATAGTCGTGGTTACATAAACATCTCATAAACTAATAAACAGTAGTCATCAATTAATCAGTCATCATGAAGTTCTTCCTAGAAAAAGGAAGATTTGGTTGTAAATATACTTAAGAAAAAAATACATATGTTATGTACAGCTTCAAGTGAAAATATATTCCAGAAAGCTGTATTTTTGTATCTGAGATCACGTTTTCAATTCTGTGCTATTAGAAAATATTTCCTTTCTGTGAATGCCATATTACCTATTCACATAAGCGAAGTCTCACAAAATCTTTGTGTTTTTTTTTAGATCTAGCCAGACAGTGGCATCCTTTAATAAATGGCCAAATGACAGCATTAAAAAACATTGGGGAATGTTTACAATCAGGAAGGATTATCCACTAAATTTAACTTTGCCATTCATTTTAATACAAAACAGTTGTAAAATCATGCAACCAAATCCAACCAGTAGCCTTTTTCACTCACTTCACACCATGTAAGTGACTATAACCAAGTATAAATTAAAAAAAAAAAAAAAGTTATTTTGAGCATCAGGAAATGTGCTAAATTTCTGGAAATAAAACCCCTGCTGCTATTTTGTTTGAAAGACTGAGTTTATAAATTATGGATTGTTTTAACAAGCGAGAGGAAAAAATGCAGATTACTTATGAATTCAAAGGAAATTCAGCCTAGAGCCTCCTTTATTTTGCAGTCATAACTAACTGAAAGATTCAATTGACAACACGGGCCAAAGCCTTGCTTTTTATCCAGAGACTTACAAACTTAAAAGAGCTTCTCCCACTCTGCATTTTCTTCTCAGCCTAAAGTCAGACACTTTTTAAAGCCCCTTGCACTGATGAGTCTCAGCTGAAGAGACTGGGCTCTTTCCATGACATCAGTTTGCAACGAGCTCCCAATTTCTTTCTCGTCAGTACGTGTTGGGAATTATTTACTCCATCTGAATGATGCCCATGATGAGATCACTCTTATTAAGAGAAAGCTATTATAACTACTGCGCTCATGTTGATCATAGCTCGTATTAATACATGGACTGCCTAACAAAACGTAGCCACCAGTAATTCATTTTTCAAGCAGGAAGTTAAGCAAGCCCTAGAGAAACTGAGGAGCAGAGAAACTCCTGACAACTCCGTAACTGCACTTGACTAAGCATTGCTCAAAACTGGAGCTCTGCTGTCTGGCCTCTCCATCAAGCAGTGTGTTTCTTAAGAGATGCTCTATCTTTTTGCTAATGATTACAATGTTGAAAGGTGCATTTGCTAGAACAGTACTTCTCAAATGAAGCTCCAGCAAAACTGGTCTGATGGAAGATTCTTAAAGCCAGGAATCCAGTAGCAGGCAAATGGGGTTTGCCAGATCTCTGATTGCACAGCTCAAATGTACCAGAACCTCATTACCTGCTACTGCTCCCTTAAAATATATTCTCCATAAATCCACATCAAAGTCATGATAAACTCTGAAGGTTTTTGTGAAACTTGGTAGAAAAGATACCTCAAGTAGGATTTCAAAGTAAGCTATCAGGTCACACTCTGCAGAAATCAGTCTGTTAGCACAGTAGGGGAACATCTGACCAGACAGAGGAATAAACACTCCTATCTGGACAGAAGGCACAATTAAAAAGAAAAATAAATAAATAAATAAAATAAAGGATAAAGAAATGTGACATTGTCTGTTTTGAATGTAAGGAGAGAGGTGTTTCTCATCTTCACAGTTTCTTCTTAAATTGCAGTTTTCAGGGCCACTGCAAATCATTCATTGCCAGTCCTGCTGAACAACCTGTGAAATCATGACACGTTTCCAAGCAGAGGCTTCCAGGGGGCTGCTCAGCCCAGA